AAAATTGACCAGCTAAAAAGTATTAACTTAAATAAAGAAGGGGACATTGAATTTGAAAAGGATTGCAAGTGATTCCGGGGGCTACATTTTTTTTTCCAAATGGGTCACTTCAAACAAACATAAAAATAACAAGTAAATATATAATTCAGTTTGAAAGTTATGTTTTCATTAAGTTCTTAAATAATAACATGTACAGGGTGTCCCGTAAGTAGAGGGGAATATTTATTGGAAGGATAGCAGACCTCATGTGCAATAAAAAAGTTTATAAAAATAAGCATTTTTATAAACTTTTTTATAAACCGATTTTCAGCAGAAAAGTAAGCAATTAAAGTTTTATGTTTTTTTTTTTGGATAGAAAGTGATAAATAAAAAACTATTTAATTTAATTAGTTAAAAAATATTTCACTGTAAACTAGACAAAATTTACTTCAAACAAAAGTAAAATTTTTCTTTGTTAAAACCATCTAATGAGCAGCTAAACTAAGCTAAGTTTGGTTTTTACAAAAATCATAAATCATTAACGATTTTTGTTATCATTCTCCAACTATACTACAGATATCCCACTTTTAGAAAAACTTTCTAATTTAATTAGCTTTAAGTCCATTTTAATTAATTTGAGGTTTACTAAGTAAAAACTTGAGATTCGTCTCAAGTTCTTTAAAAAAAAATGTTATTTCGTATCCTTTCACCTTAAAGTATACGTGTTTCCAGCAAAAATGACTACAAAAAATTATTGTAAAGCTTTAATTTCTTTTTTTAGATGACCTGGAATGTCTAATAATAAATGCATAAACACACTTTTTATTTCTAAATACAAATATGTTAAAAATAAATATTTTTGAAATATTTCTCATGTAAAGAGGTAATAAAAATATGTTTTTATTAAGATCTTTATTACAGAAATTCATCCAGATTTATATGTGACGAAATAAATTTTTCTAATCATAAAATTTATGTTTAAAATAAAGAAACCTGCTGATTGCTTCAATTATTCAATACCAGGATAAGGAACATTTAGTTTGTCACTTATAAATATGGATCAATTTCTGTAATAGAGATCTGGGTGAAAAACACAGTTTCATAACCACTTTACATGAAAAATATTGAAAAATCATTATTTTCAACTTTTTTTTAGCATTAAAAAGTTTATTTAAGCAATTATTCATTATACATCCAAAATCGTGGGAAAACGAGAAATATAAGCTTTTGCAACAATTTATTGTAGTCACTTTTGCTGAAAACACAGATTCATATAAGGGACAAGATATAAAATCATATAATTTTTTTACACAACATGCGGTAAATCTCATGTTTTTCTTTAATAAATCTCAACTTAAATAATATTGACTTAAAACTTATTAAAGGAGAAAGATTTTCTAAAAGTGGAGTATCTGTTGTACAGGGTGATAAAAAAAATCATGAATAATTTATGATTTTTTTAATAACTGGACATAGCTAAGTTTAGCTGCTCAAAAGTCCCCTTTAAATGGTTTTTAATAAGGACAAATTCTTCTTTTGTTGGAAGTAAATTTTATCTAGTGAAATAATTGTTAACTATTTAAATTAAATAGTTTTTTAGTTATTACCTTCTATTCAACAAAAAGTGTGACACTTCAAAACATACACAACTTTAATCTCCTACTTTTCTGCTGGAAATCAGGCCTTAAATTGTTTATATAAACTTTTTTTAGGTCTTGAGGTCTACTATCATTCCTATAAATACTTCCTTCTACTTACGGGACACTCTATATATGTACATATTTATGTATGTAAGTGTGTCTATATAACCTGTATGTATATACATAAACACACATTCATACATAAATAAGGATGTTTCAATTTAAAAATAAAAGATACGGAAAAGCTTAATGTGTGTATTGATTGATTTCTATTGCTTTATTAAATTGATAAGTGTTATTAGTGGTGTTATACACACTTTGTGTTTAATTTCAATGTGTATTGTCACTGTTTTGATTTTTTGTTTTAGAGTGAGTGTTATTAAAAATGATAAATTTTTATAAGCTCATAGTGCTTTAGTAACATTTTGTTTCTCTAAACAGCTTGCTAGGAGCATGATTGTGAGTACTTGCTTCACTTATCTTTGCTTATATCGTAAGCTTTATTAAAGTAAAGATAATTAGATATATAAATTGCATTAAGTAATTCATTAGTGGGTTAGAATCCATGATAATAAATCAATACAAAATGCTATTTTGATTATTTTTAAAAGGCTAAGCATTTAATAATTAAAATTTCAGTAAAATAATACTATTATATTATATATTGATTATTTATATATATATATACATATGCACTCTATAAATATTCTATCATATGCTTAGGAATTCATTTAAGTTTACATTCTAGTTTACCAATTCCCCAGCTGTTACGGGCCCAAAGACATCCAGCGTTGTGACAAATGATGATTATTTTAAAAGATCTTTTTAGAACAACAGAGAAAGGGAATTAAAAAAATGTGCACAACTTTTGTAATTTGATATGAAATCGGATATCCTTCAGCTTTTATTAACTCATAAAATTGTTAACATCTATTGCAAGAATGATTAAATACTAATATTAATGGCTATTTCTTTTTTCTCAACCATTGTATAGATATGACCCAGTGCTAGTGAACAAAATCCTAGAAAGGAAATGTTTTTTGTCTTTTTTTGCTAAGAATGGGTAAAATGAAGGAATCTAAACAAAATACTAAAAGCAATTTGAATCTTAAGTAATTGATATCAATAAAAAGTTTTATTGAAAAATATGGGTATGTTGATCCAAAAGATGACTATACTGTCAAATTTTAAATACAAGTCATTCTAGTTTACCAACTCCACGAATGTTATAAGCTCTTAGCCCATCCAGCATTGTGACAAATGAGAATTACTTAAGCAACTTTCATCGATGAATAATAATATTTTCCTATCTAAATAAAAATCTGGAACTGGAAGATAGTTTCAGACCCCACAAATTTTTGAATAATCCTTGCTATCAAATAATATCTTCACCTGTAGTGGAAGTAATGTGAGTCCATAAAACAATGAAATTTCCAAGAATCACAACAATAATTATAACAAAGCTAATATACAACTTAAAAACTATTTGAAGTAAAGAAAAATAAAGCAACTTTATTTTATATATAACTAGCTAAATGAAGATTTAATACTTATAATACAGCTTCTGATGGTGAAAGCAATTGATAAGCTATAATGTTGCATCTATGTATATTCATGTAGGTATATTTGAAAACAAGTATTTAATTCATAATGTTGATATAAAAAAAAATTTGGCTTGAAGTATGAGGAATATTAAACTGCAAGCAGCATTTGGAGTGATGGACCATCAAATTTAACATAAAAAAAAGAGAGAAAAAATAAATATTTAACATGATTATGAATAGGCAGTAATAAATCAATTTCATAATGGAAACTTAAACTCACATTTTGATTTATGAAATATCAAAATTAAAGAGAATAACTTCAATCCCCGTCATAATAAACAAACAAATACATAGATAATACAACTTTTAATTGCTTGGCTATATCTCAGAAAATGTTTCAGGTCTAAAAATGTATGAATTAGATAAAGCAATAATATTGAACAAAGGAAAGGAAAAAATAAATCAATAAAAAAAAAGCCTTAATTTATTCAAATTTCCTTCATTCAATTTAATAGAAATCAAATTAATACAAAATAGTTTTTAAAAACATAAATATTTATATTCTTTATATTATTTTTCTCTCTGTTCTCTGAATGAAAAATCAAAATGTAATCGGCCCAAAATGCAAACCAGGAATGTAATAAAAAGTCTAAGTTATTTATGTGTAAAGTTTAAAATTATTTTTGGGATAAATTTCTTAATTTTTATCAAGAATGTGAAATATGAACCATTATGGTCTGTTATTTAGCTAAAATACTGTGAATATGATTTCTTTGATTTTTGAAAAATAAAAATAACTTCAAACCTTGTTTTCTCAAAATTAGGAATTTTACATTGCTGGTTTTGCCTTTGGATTAGCGATATATAAAAGAGATAAATACTTTTAACAATGCTGTTATGAGAGCATATAGTTCAATTACTCTTGCTTTAAAAATTGTATATATTTTTTTTTTTTTATATTTGGGTTTTATACAACTTAAGGAGTCATATCCCCAACAATGTAATTATTTAAAAATATTTATTCTGATCAAAAATATAGATATAACAATACAATGGATTAAGTACAAGCATTTTATTTTTATTTAAATTTTAATGTGGGACTTGTAACAAATTACCTACTAGCTTTATCTAATGAATATATTTTCTTTATAAATAATAGTATATTATAAAGGTAAATATGCATATGATTAAGAGATATACATTACCTTAAGGAATATTAGTTTTGGAAGATGAGTGATGAATCTTCAGAACAAAACTCAACTTTAACTTGCTTGACGTTTTAAGATTATTCACCCATTTTTTAAAATATTAAGCTGTTTTTTCATAATAACATTTGATTCATTATATTATTTTCTAATTTTATTATTTTCATATGGTATATCATTAAACTGTACTTTTAATGGTATACATAATGAAAATAAAAGGCATTATAATGAATCAAACGTTAACGTAAAAAGGGATAAATATAGAGAAAAAACAGTATTATGTTTTAGAGAATAGATGACTAACCTGAAACTTCTAGAAAATAATGGTTGATAATTATTGTGACAGTTCATTATCTTCCAAAACTGTTGTACCTTGATAGCAACAACTGGCCTTCAACAAGATATAACTAAAAAAGATTATCTTAAGGAATTTTTATAATGGCTATGCTCTTATTTTAAATATAATAATATTATTATTCTCCATTATTTCTCATTCTTACAAAATATACAATTATTTTATACTTATAATTTATTGTTGCTGGAGATCTTTCTCTATCAACTCTAATTTTAAAATGCTTGAGTACTATAAAACAGCTAACAACTTTGTGAACATTAAATTACAGGGCGGGAGTATGCCTAATACGAGTAGCAGTGTACCATTCCTGCTGAGCTCGTCAATGAATAGTATCCGGTCGCGGAGACCATCAGCTTGCCTCTCTGGCTCACAGGGGTCTGGTCTGTTGCAGCAGCTGGGCTCTGGCATGGTAAGACAGCTCTCATCACAGCAGGTCAACGGAAGGGCATTTCCTAGCTGCAATGTAAGGCAATGTCCTTCCCTCTCTCTCTCTCACTCTCTCTCTCTCTCTCTCTCTATCTATCTATCTATCTACCTATCTCTCTCTCTCATACACACACACACACACACACATACACATACACACACTTTCTCTCTCTCTGTTTTTCTTCATCCATTCAAACCTTGAAATTTCCCTTTCTGTTCCTTTCTTGAAAATTAGTGTTGTCCTCACATTTCTGTTTGAATGCACTTCGAATGACTGCATGTTAGATGAGTTTAGAATGATTAGTCGACATTGCAAGTTTGTTTTCAATAATTTCAGCTTAATATTTAGTTGAAGCTTCTCCAACAGTTGGTGTCATTAAAAAATATATACAATATAAAAATAATCTAATTAGGATTTTGTAATTTACTTAAATTCATACAATTATAAAATTTCATTAATAATAAAGATACAGATCAATTATGAGGCATTAAGCAAGTACTGTTTTTAGCATAGGTTGAGCTTGTCTCAAAATATTTATTGCAGTCCAAAAATTGATGTACCTTCATTTAACTCTAAACTGAATCCTGACAAAATGATGAATGCTAAGACAGAAATGAGGTGGATGGTAACAACAGAAAGAGAAGAGAATATACCTTTTTTCTACAACAATATTAAAGAAAATAACATTCAAATTTGTTTTAATATTACATATATTAAAAGCAATTTGAGCATTAAAATACTGAAACATAATGAAAGTAATCTAATTTTGTTAAAAAATTAAATAGTTCATTTATATGTACTAAGTAAATGTTAAAGTATTTATACATTTAAAGTGATCTGCAGTATGTAATTATTCTTCAAATTATATTATTAACTTAAATAATATTAGAGCTGTTCTCAGAAAACCATGTTTGAAAAATGTGGAATGATGAAAAACTCTTGAAAGAAAGAAATATGTCGAGGCCAGATACAATATAGAGAGACCTGATTCTTGTGTGTTAATCTGGATGGTTATATGTGTTCCAACTACCTGGCTTATGATCTGACAAATGGCAACTACTATTTTTTTTTTTTTTTTTAGATTTTAGTGGACCCAGAAAACATTTTTCATTCCAAGGTTCCCACCCATACAAATCTAAAATATTACAGATGTTTTTAATAGTATTATGATAATTTGTACCATTTTTAGGAGTTGGTTATGACTACTTCTAAGTATTAAATTTTATAAGGTCAATTAAATGATCACAGCAATCTCCATGTAGTCTCAATCATGGAAACATTCATTCAAGTATTTAGATCAGATGTCTTATCATGAAAGAAAATCTTCATAGAAATAAACTGGATTTGAGGAGGCTAGAAGATTCTTGGAACAGATGCAATACTATACAGTGATCTGAACACATCATCATCTCTTTGGTGTTCACTAATACAGATCCACTTAAATGAACTGCCAACAAATTTTCGCAATCGAATCCAGCCTATTTTATTGATAATGACAAGAACAACCTTATATTCCTATCATAATCAGGACTGACTTTACATCCAGATATATTCCCATTCTGCCATAAAAGAAAATATCTTCCTTTAAGTTTTACCAGGACCAGGTGAGTTTGGTCAGGCGTTGTCCATAAGAGGTCTCTAAAGAAAGATAAAAAAAAATCTAAAAACGTCAGATCGATTTTGTTTACTAATGTTTTGCAAACAAAGTACTATTGATGTCCTTTTCAACCATAAAAGCACTTTAGACAGTGTTTGAGATCAAAGTTAATGCAAAAACTGTTTGATATGGGAGAATTGAATATTTACTTAAGCGTGCTTTCTTTCTGATGTGTTTTATAAAGGTTTGCCAGGTCCGAATTTCAGCACACTCAGCAATGTATTGCTACCCAACCCTCTTCTGTTTTGTATCATGATAGACAATAAGCACTCTGGAAACAATCCCTGGAATAAATGTCCTTTTATTTTCTGATGATTAAGCTATCCAGACAACAATCAGTAGCATTAAAGTTTTAGCAAAATTAAAAGATTTAATAAAGTACATAGCAATGAAATAGTTAGGAACAACAAAATGATTATGTCACGACTATTCAAACTCTAGAGGAAAAATCTTGCCATAAAAAGAGGAATCGATGTGCTTAAGAGTATAATTCAACTCCAAGCTAAATTGGAATAACCATATTGTCAAGCTTCTAGAAAAATTTAGCTAATGAAAATAACAGATGCTCCAGAATATTTTGGCATTAACACTACAGGACCTACGAGTGACTGGCAAAGCGAAATTGATCAGAAATGATGTGTTCTTTTTCTGACATTAATAATGAAATAGAAATAATTAGAACTTCTCTTTTCTCTAGAAATTGCTATTTCCTTTTAATTACTAGAAAAATAGATATTTTAGTTTTCAACTCATGGTAAAACTTAAATTTAAATGCATTAAACCATTAGTAACTATTTAGTATTAGTACAATTATCTCTAATTAGACACTAGACTAATAAATTAGAAAAAAAGGAATTAATGGAACAGACTAAGTTTCAATGTAGACATTAGTTTTTATAGTTAACATGACAGTAGAATAGAGATGTTATTGCATAAGATATTTTTGAATTTTTTTGTAAATACATCATAAGTTTATTGCAAAAATTCACTAAGTATATTTTTGATGAAGTTAAACTTAAGAATATTTTTTGTGAATTACAACTTTATTCATCAATAATAAAAACATAGCACTAAAATGACACAAATCTTTTTATATAGTTACAACTAGCACAAAATTTTCTGATTGCACAAAAAGAAAATTCATCAAAGTTCTGAATGATTTAAGGTTATGAGATGAAGCTTAATGATTTTTTTGCAATAAACCAACAATATTATCATTTATGAATTGTAAATAAATAAAACAAAACTTAAATTTATTAGGTTCTGTTATATACATGGGTGTATGTGTGTTATAATATTTTTTTTTCAGTTCATGTTATCGTTTATAATTTAAAATCAGTTATTAGCAAGCCTTTTGACTGTAACTTTTCTCAGGACAAAATGTAACATAACTTTTGTTCTATAACATAAGTTCTAAATTTATATCTAATTGCTGATCATTTTCATGGAAGAGATTGAATATCAGAAACATTTATTTCAAAAACTCTGATATTGATCAACATTTGGAACAACAAGGTGTATCCGACTACAAAAAAAATAAATAAATAAAACATAAACCTGTACCATTACAACATTTGAAGGGGGGTCTCCGGTTCAGTACTTCATAAGGAATTAAGGGTACCCACTTTATAGAGGATGGGTGTGCTCCAGGAGAGTCCCGACTCCACGGCCAATGAAACTGAATAAAAATTTTATCAATTTCTTTGTCATTAGCTGGATTCAAACCTGAGACCTTGAGCAATGCTCAACCAATGGATTAGTCAGCACCCTACTACTGAGCTATCCCACTCTCTGATGACTAATGAAACATTTATTTGAAACTAAATTGAATACCAATTTATAAGCCTCTAGACTCTTTCAGTTCATTTAAAGGATTATAAAAAATATATATACAAAAAAAAAAAATCAACCGCGCTGTTTGCAATATAACTTCAAATTCCCCTCGCTCGGTCATCTGTTCAGATTCTAAATCTGCCCTATAATCTCTACTAGACCTCCTTTACCACACACAGTATAATTACAGAAATAAAAATACAATTAAAAAAGTTGAAAGATGCTGGTTGTAGAGTATTGTTTTTATGGATACCTGGTCACAGTGGGATTCCTGGAAATGAAAATGCAGACACACATGCAAAATGAGCAATAAAAAATAGTCAAGTGTTTTCAAGAAGTGATTGGCTTGAGTGGCAAAATCAATGGTTTGGCATGAGATAAAATAAATTAAGAAAAATCGAACAATATGTTAAACATCCAAGAAAAAGTCTATAGCTATCACGAAGAGAAGAGGTAGTTCTTACCCGCCTCAGGATTGACCATTGTCGATTTACCCATGGATATCTGATGAAGAAGGAAGAACCGCCAACATGTTCCTATTGTGGGTGTATTCTAACAGTGCTTCACATACTAACGGAGTGTATGGCTCACGACTCCTACAGATTTTCCACAGACCCAGAACAAATATTGAGACAGGACCCAGACACGACTTCACGACTTATTAAATTCTTAAAAACTATCGACATTTATAATAAAATTAAAAAAAAAAACTTCAAATGACTAAAGATACTTCAGTGTAAATGACCCCAGTGGTCAAAACACTTAAACAAAAAGTACCCAAATAAATAAATAAAAAATATATATCACTATGATTATCAAGAGCCAGAATAATTAGGGGGAAACATATAGGTCCTTTTGCACCAGCTAGTCACTAACAGCCATATTTGTGGTTTTAAGCCAATTTATCACTGTCCTTGCATCTGAGAATGTTTGAATGTAAATTTGGAAGTAATCTGCCACTGCACTATGGTAATCAAGTTGAGTGGCCCCCTCCAGACTTTTTGGGTTCCTACAAGCAATAAATAAAGCAAGAAGGCCACATAGGGTGGTCAGAGGTAATCAGAGCCTGTAGTACTAAACAATTATATATATATATATATATATATATATATATATATATATATATATATATATATATATATATATATATATATATATAAAATAGGCTGAATGATATTTATTGACTCAAGACATAAGATAAACAAATCAATTCAGATTAACCATGAAAAATAAAATTGATAAAAATGTTTAATAAATCCCTACATGATGTCATCTTTACTGTCAACCTGATTAAAGCCTTAGGTCAAAAAACAAGCATTAGAAAAGAATAATGTTCTTTTAAATTGAATAAAAATTATGTCAGTATGTAAAATCAATACTGCATGTTTGTACCAAAAGTTATCTTTGAACAATACATTATGTTTATAGACAATTTTTTTTTAATTCTTGTTAAGTAAAAATATACCCTTGAAACAAGAAACCAACAACCTTACTCCAAATATTTTTATAACGTAATGAGAAAAGTTAAAACATAGGTAAAAAAAAAATGAAATGATCAGCAATGGGTTATTCTCCAATAACCATCATTCCTCGTAAGCTCAACAGTTTGTTAGAGAGAAAAATATACAAAACTATAATGTGTAAACAGTTCACAGAGTAATCTGCTAGAGAACTCTAACATCAAAGAAAGTAGGGCTAAATTTTCCCATGAGTAAAAACCCACGACTGAGTTCTGGCAACTCTAATGTCAGAGCTCCATCACAAAAACTCTTGCATTGACAAAGGTCTTAACCTTCTGTAAAATAAACTTAAAAATTTTATTTATTTATTTTTTCATCTTTGAATTTTTTAAAAATACTTTTATCATGCATCAAAAACTACTCCTACTTATACCAGTGCATTTATTAGTAACTGTAAAATTATTAATTCTAAATGTTTCTAATTAACATAAAATTCAAATTAGTGGACTTAGTTTAATGTCTAATGATTTATGGATAATCACTAATGTTTCTAAAATTAATAATGATTTTATATGTTTATAAATATACAACATATGGTAATATAACTGGGTACAGATATGATTGACATTTTAATGCTAAGCAGTAGCGGCTTTAGGCATTTGGCACCTCTAGGCTATTCCATCATGAGCAATTTGCATCACCTCTTTGAAAAAATGAGGATAAAATGAGACGTGTATGAAGGACAATGTATATTACTTTATATTTGAATTGTATTTCATTCAGTTGCTTTATTAATTGACACAAATAAATTTATCTTATAAGCTTCATATTTTATTAAATTCTGAACAAGTGAAGGGCACCCCTCAAGGTTGGCACTCCCGGACGTGTGCCCTGACTGCCCATGCCCTAATGCCGGCACCACTGTTATGAATTATTAAGTATGAAACTTTGTTCCAAAGTCATATATGTTCATTTGTTCCCTCATCTGATTTTAAAATATGTGTTTCCTGCATGAATGTGGTTTGCTTCCTGGTTTGCTATGGTAATCAACCTTGTATTTATTGATGTTTTTTGCTTCATTGGAAAGGTAAATTTGAAATTGAGAATAAATAACTATATAGTTAGTTTCTGTTTTAATTTTAAATAAATAATTTAAATGTCCAACTCTCCTTGCTCATCCTTGGATTACTTTGTAGAATAAATAAATGTGATGTAGATCTGTATAATTAGATCATGAGGTGTCATGTTCTATTATAACATTTATGTTTG